GGGTCCAAGAAAAGGGGTCCGGACGAGGTCGACCCTGAGCAGAGGGCCGACTCGTCTAAACGCCTCAAGGGTAAGGACAAGGGGAAAGCAGTCGAAGCTCCCCGTTCTCCTGGCGCCCTCGAGATGGTGACACTCGAGAGGCCCTGCCAACTCTGGAACCATCCCCATCCGCATGAGATAGCCAAATACTTCGACTCAGTTATCGCTGCGGCTGACAAGGCTCGTGCTGACCGCGACCCTTACGACCGTGCCGGCCGTGCTCTCCTATGCTTCTCTCGAGTGAGTGTTCCTCGAATTTTATCCCTTGGTGTATTTTTCTTATTCTCGCTTTTATCTTACTGACCTTTCTACACCTTCCTTCCAGTTTATGGCATATATAATGCCTACCCTTCTCGAGGAGTCCAGCTCGCCTAACTCCAACGTTCATGCTTATAAGAAGAAGTGTGCGGAGCAGCTCCATGAAATCGAGGAGAAGAATGACGAGCTGGCGGCGGCCCATGCCCTCATTGCGAAGCTCAAGTCTGAGAAGGCCGCCGCCCTGTCCAAGGTCGATCAACTGCGAGCCGACCTTGCTAAGGCCACCGAGGACAACGTGGCCGAGAGGGAGATCGGGCAAGAGGAAGAACGCAAATCTTTCCTCAAGTCACCGATGGGCTCCATCTTCCTCGAAGCTTATCGTAAGGAGGTCGTCAGAGCGTTCTGCAACTCTCCTGCTTTCCTCGAGAAGCTGTGTCCGGCCACCCTTCAATACTTCAACTTCACATTCGATGCGTGGGAGTCGGCTGTTAAAGGCACCGCCCTCGAGGGGAAAGTCGACCGTCAAGCGCTCAAGGAGTCGCTCCCTCTCCCGCTTGGCTATCGCGGCGATGCGTCACTTCCCGACGATTATCCCTGGTGGTCGGGTCTTGAGGCTCGGGCAATTCGAAAGTCTAGCCTTGGTGCTCAGCTTGAGGTTCCTCCTACCCCCCTGGTCGGGCCCGTTGATTTAATCGAGCCGAGCGGAACAGATGA